CTTAATTATATTATTTAATATATTAATTTAATTTTATTGTTATTTATATATGAAAAACATATTTATTTATATTTTAATTTATTTATAATTATCTAAATATTTAATTTAAATTTAAATTATAATTTTATATCATTTATTCAATAAATATATTTAATTATTTCTATTTAAATTATAATTATCTGAATCATTTACTTTAATTTTTAGTTATACTATTTATTTAATTTTATTTAATTATTTTACTCAATTTAGTTATTTAAATTATTAAATTTAATTTTTAATTATATTAATTTATAAATAATTTAAATAATTTATTTTAAGTTCTTATATATTTTTTATTTATTTAATATATTTTAGTAATTTTAATGAATTTATTAAATCATTTAAATTATTTAATTGAACTAATTTAATTTTGAAATTAAATATTTATTTCTATTTAATAATTTTACTTTGTTTATTATTAATTATTTAGTTTAAATTGTTATAAAATTAATTATTATTTATTTTATTAACTTTATTTAATTATTTTAATTGTTTTGTTATTTTTTTATGTTTAATTGTTATATTAAATTATTAATTATTTTATTTAATTATTTTTAAATATTTGTTTATTTTATTTAAACATTAAAATATACATGTATTTTTATTTCTATTATAAATGAATATTTTATTATATAAATATTAATTATTTAATTTCATTATTCCTTATTATATCAATCTTTTTTATATATTAATATGTTTTATAAATTTATTTAGATTTATACATATTGTAATATTATATAATTAATACATATTTTATTGATTTATTTTACTGTTTTTATTATATTATTATATTTTTATTGAATTAAAATTATAATTTAAATTTACGTTATTTATTTTGATAATTATCATATATTGTTTATTTTACTTATTTTTCCTAATAATTATTATACAAATTTATTAACTCTTATTTTTAATAATTTTGTTCTTATTATTTTGTAAATTTAATATTTTTATATATGTATATATATTTTTTATTCTTTAAAATAATTATTTTTACTTGTGGAAATAATTATTTAATTTTTTAAGATTTTTTTTTATTGTATTTTTATTTAACAATTTCAAAATAGTGAATTTTTTATTTGTATTTATATTATTATTTTATTAAATAGTTATTATATTTAATATGTAATATAAATTTGTTATTGTTATTTTTTATATTATATTCTCTTTTAAAATCAAATTTATCTGTTTTCAATAAAATATATATATGTTTTTTTTTTTTTTTTTTATAATTTTTATTTTTGTTTTTATGCATTATTTTACAATAAATTGTCTCAAATTATGATTTATTTGTGGAATATTTATATTCCTTTTATTATGATATTAAATTATGCTTTTTTTTATATATTGCTGAAGAATTTTCCGTTGTTTTTTAATTGTGTGTTTTTCTTTTTGCATTGACAGTTTTATGAAAATTGTCATAATGTTAGATAAAAAAATTATATGTTTTAAAATTATATTAAAATGATTTATAAGCTATATGTGTATAAAAAATTTTGGTAATAATTTGTAATCAAAAAATATATAAAAATTAATTTAATTCTAAAAGATGTTAATTTTTCTAAAGGATTTATTCAATTATTATAGATGTTAAATATCTTAGTACAAATATAATTTTAAAATGTAAACAATATTAATCTATTTGAATAAAACAAAAATATTAATTTACTTTATTAAAAGTGTCTTTGACAAAAACAATGATATGTTTATATATTTTTCATTTTAATAACATAGATTAAAAACCATATAAATGCTTATACATGATATATCGCAAAACATACTTTAAAATTTCATTTAAATAATATTAAAATAACTAGTGAATTTAACCATAAATTGAAGTGGCTGTTTTTTTAATTTGAACAAATAATTCGAGCTTCTTTGAATTAAGAAAAATTTTTTATTTCTCATTAAAAAATATATAATATTTTTAGCTTGTAATAATATGTGATTGTAAAAAGTACCAATTTTTAAGATGGATTAATAAGACATAAACAGGCATAAATTTTGTATTATCAACCTAAAAAATTCTTATAGAATTTTTTTCAATTCTAAAATATAACATAAAACATATTTTATATATAAATGAAAGAATTATTTTTAATATATATTATTTATTCCAATTTCTAAGCATCAACCTTCAAATAATAAAGCTAAAATGTTAATTTTATTTCAAATTTATTCTTACAATAAAATTATAATATAATTCAACTAAGAAAAACATACAGTTTTACACATTGCTCTATTAATATTGTAAAATGTACAGAATATTAATACCCACATTTTCCATGAAATGATATAAAACGAATAAAATTGAGATTTATTCAAGACTTTTGAATACCTAAGCATTTCAATAATTTATAAGACTATAATTTTATATATTTTATATATTTCATTTAATGATAAATTTATATATAAAGGAAAGATTTATGCCTAATTACATAAAAAATTATTATGTTATAAAACATTTTTTTTGTTGGATTTAATTTAATAGGGTATTTCTTTGATAAAAAATTCAAATGGAACTAGCAATAACTATTCTTAGAACTTTATTCATAATAGTCACAATCATAAGGAGTTTTAAGGAAATCTTAAAATTATACATTCTAAAAAGTTTTCCATATATATTTTTTCAAAAATAAAAACTGAAAAAATCTAAATATAGTATACTTTGTAATATTTACAAGAAATAAAATATATTCTATAAAATAATTTGTTATATTCCAATAAATATATATAAAATATCGTATTATAAAAGGGAAAATTATTATTTAAAAAAAATTTATATAAATTTAACGCAAAAGAAATTAGACTTTATGAAGTTTATAATGTTACATAAAAAAAGTATTTATCTAATTAACTTGAAAAATAAACTTCTTCGAATTAAATCTTTTACATATGGAATAAGTTCTTAAAATGCATTTTACATATTAAGACATTCAAATATTTGTACCTGTATTCTTTATGATAATTCAAAAAAAAATATAAATATTTCATATTTTTAATCATATGTTTTTATCTAAGCATACTAATTATGTTCTGAAATTTTGGATTTATGCATTACAAATAATTCAGATAAATGAAATGATGTATCATCTGTTATAGAAAAATTTAATTTTATTAAAACATAAAAATGTTGAAAATGTTTACTAGGAAAACTCATTAAAATTTATTTTTGAGGATTCATATAAATGTAAATAAATAATTAATACCTGTTTATATATTTGTTTTTAAAAAAACTATGTAAATTTAGGTATTAATTTCGTTATATTAACCTAAATACTAAAATGAGATATTTAAATAGATATAAAATAAGTATAAAAAATATATGCAGGTAAATTATATAGAATAGCAAATAACTCAAGCAATTTTTAAATATAAATATGTCTATTAAGTAATAAATCTAAGTTTTTTTTCATTTTATTTTATGCCCTTTATACAAGTTCATATTTATTTTTATATATGAAATAATTATGGAAATTAAAAATGTTCTAGAATTATATAAAATTCATATGAAGGATATTTATAAAAGAAAGAAAATTTTATTTATTTTTTGTAGATAAATTTATTTTTTTTTTTAGATATATTTCCTTTATTTATATATTATATAATAAGTATAAATAATATCTTTAAATAGATGTCTCTTTTATAACTACTGTTAATAACATATATTATTATTTTTTTCTTGGTTTTTTTTTTTTTTAATATATTGTTTTTTTCTTTTTATTTTTCATAAACAGTTTTGATATTTTGTTTTTGACATAATTTTTCACTTGGAATATAATTACAAATAAATATTAGATAAACGAAATATATAATAAAAAAAGTCGCATAAATATTTTAATTATTAAAAATTATACCAATAGTCAAATATAAAATAGTTAAAGTATGATTGATCTTTTTGTCCAAATTATCTATCATATCTGTTGATACAAATAAATTTTTTTAAGATATTATGTTACTCTTATTTATCTATTAAGGGAAGAATTTAAATTTAAATGAAAAAAAAAAAAAAGACATAACTATATCCTTTTTTTTCATTACGTTATTGCTTTGACAAAGGATATACATATTTTAAAAGTTTTTAAAAAAGGTAAAAATTCATAAAATGCAACTTTCCTACTAACATTTTTATTTTTTCTGACGTTTACATGTAAATGTATTTTTTTTTCGTTTTAAAAAATAATGAATAATATAGAATGTACAATTCTAAATTTATGCTTTCAAAAATTTTGACATTTTAAAAAAATGCACTTTTATTTATCTATTCTGAAAATCTTAAAATTAACCTAAAAATTAAAGGCAATTAAAGAAAAAAATTTTAATTTTTATGAATTTTTCTTTAAATTTATCGACTTTTTTTTCTGGTTTTATGTTTTTTAAAGATATTTTTAAATATATATTTATTTCTTAATTTTGTGAAAATTATTGTAAGATCAATAATAGGAAATATAAAATTATATTTTGAAAAACATTAAAGGTTATAGAATATAGTTATTTAAAGTATTTTTAATATTATTATTTATTAAATAATTTATTTTTACAAATTCAGTAGTTTTGTTAAAAAATATAAATTTTTATATTTTTTCAAAAAAAAAAAATTTTATTGAGAACTTTGTTAGTTTTAAATAAAAATGTATAGCTAATATTTTATTTTTCTATCTTTTGAAAATATTCCTTTTTAACCTCGTTTATTTGTAGTTCCAAAGTTTTTATGGAAATATTTTTTTCTTATTTCTTTTTTTTTTTTTTTTACAAACCCATAGTTTATTAAAGCTTTTGTTTTATTTGTTAAATTTTTGTGTCAAAATTTCATTTTTAATTATTTTTTTTCAATTTTTGATTCTTAAGAAGTTCATTTTTAAAATACTTAATTACATTTGTTACAAATTATGAGAAATAAAATATTAAAGAAAAAGTTTATTTTAAAGGTATTTTATTTTAAAGAAAAAAAATGACATAATATGAAAAAAAATTTCTTTTTAATTTCTTTTTTTTTATTTCTCATATTATACCTTAACAAAATACTAAGTTTTCAATTAAGAGATACACCGTTTTTTTGTAATAGAAAAAGTTTTATATCATGTATACAGAAAAGTAGCAAAGAAAAAACAGTAATAAATTTAAAAAAATCAATTTCTAATAAGATATTCTTGACAAGTTCAAATGTTAATAAAGATGATGTATATAAAGACATAGAAAATAACGTTAGAAACATCAATTTTTTAAATAAAAGTAAAAGTGACAATACAAATAACTTGAATAAAATTATTCTTAATAATTTCCTTTCAGATCCAAATGATTGGAATAAAATTGTTATTGATAATATGAATAACAAAGATATTATAAGCTTAGTAAAATTTTTATATATGGAATATAAAAAGTCATTTCTATGTATTGATGAAGAAAGAAAAAAAGCAGATATCACTTTTAATTCAGAAAAAATTAAATCATTGTTTGCTGCTTTGGAGTCTGTTACTATTGAAGACATGAATGTAATTGAATTTCATCATCATTTGGATATATATTTAATTTTATTAAAATGTTGTAAAGATAATTACACACCTTTTAGTTTTGTAAAAAATGAAATAGTAAGCATAACGGATAAAATTGTTAAATATTCACAGAGTCATTTACACGATGAACATGTATGTAATAAGATAAAAAATGAATTTGTAAATATGCTTAATTTAATAAAAGAAGTAAAAAAAAATGAAGCTATAGAAACAAATGTCAAAAACTTCTTACAAATTTTAAATAGTAACATAGTTTTAAATAATAATAATATATTTTATTTTATGATAGAAATATTTTCATCGATAAATTTGTTAGTAAAAAATAACTCAGATTTAATTTATAAGTATGATTACGTAATAAATCCTCGTTTTTTCTTTTTATGCATTTTTTCGTTATATTCTTATAATTTAAGCAAAGCACGTTTTTATTATTTCATGTTGTTAATACATAATCAGGTAGATATATTGACTTTAAAAAAAAATGTTAAGAAATACGATGATGACTTAAATTATAGTAAGTATAAGAATTTTATTATTAATACCATTTTTGAAAAAGAAAAAATTGAATATGAATCTATAGAAGAAATTATAGTAGATAAAGGGGAGAATACAAGTATAAAAAAGGTAGGGGAGTCTGTTAGTAATGACTTAAATAAAGAACTGAGTTACGCAAAAGAAATGGATAACTCTGCAAACAATATAGAGTCATTAATAGAGGGAGGTAAAAATTTATTATTTAAGGAGTTATATGGTAACATATTGATCAAAATTTTACTTTTTTATATTTTTTTTTATTTCAGTGATTACTATTTTTGCATTATTATTTTATTAAATTTTCAAAACTTTGTAAAAGACAAAAATCAGGATGAAATCTTAATGCAAACTTTTAATTATTTTTTTTTTATGTTATTAGACAATTTATATCAAATAAGAGATTATTCTAAAATAATTTTACTTTTAGGTCTATTTAGAACTAATTTTAATATATTTGATAATAAAAGCATAATTAATATAAAAAAAATTTTGAATTCAATTATAAATGAAAGCATTCATGAACAAAATTCGAATGTGTCTAAATTACTCCTAGATATTAATAATTCCATTAAAAACATAGAAAATAAAAGAAAAAGTATGAATAAAAATAATGCAAGTAACTTATATAGAAACAAAAATATTGATAATTATTTAAATAGAGATAACATAACTTCGAAAGAAGAAAACAAAAAGGAAATTAAAGAAATAAAGAATGAACATACTAAGGGGATTGAAATATCAAGCATTAGTAACGCAAAAAATGAAAATATTAATTTGAATGATTCCTATAACATGAGTGAGAGGTTTAATAAAATTCTGTCGTTTTTACTAAAAAATAAAAAATATGACAAAATTGAGAGTATGGAAAAAAGAGATAATTTATATGCAAATAATAAAACGTATAGTTTATTTATTCAATCATTTTTAAATAATCATAAGTATGATAAAGTATATAAGGTTTATAAAAAAATGAAATCAAAAAAAAATATACCTATTACGTATTTAAATGTAAAACATTTAATACACAGTTTTAAAAAGTGTGATATTGATAAAGGGGATGTATTAAATGAATTGCAATTAATTAGTAAAGCATATTTAAATTTATATTTTTCAAAAGATTCATATTTTGTATTAACTAAAACATTGTTATATAAACATTTATGTGATTATTTAAAAAAAAAATGTGAAATGAAATTAATTATTGATATATTTAATTTTAATGAACTTTTAAAATATTTCATAAAATTTAAAAGTTTTATTAATATAAAAAAATTATATTTTCTGTTACTGAAGTATTCATATATAAAAACTTATAAAACATACTTAATATTAATTAGATTTTTTAATAATTTAAATTATGAAAGTTCTAAGAAGAGTTATGAAGATGAAATAGAACCTATGAAAAAATTAAGTGAAAAAAATGATGAAAATATGAAAATGATAACAGCAAATGAGATAAAATGTTCTTTTGAAAAAAATGAAGAAATTTACAACGATATAAAAAATTTAAGGAAAAATAAGTTATTTTATTACATTTGTAAAAATCAAGATTCACAAGAACTTGATTTATTTTATAAAATATATGAGATTGCAAAAAAGGATAAATATGAAATAAGTTTATTTATCTTAAGTAATTTTATTACCGAGTATATACTATTTGATTATTCTTCAGATGATATAATAGAAAGTGAATTAAGTAACATAGGTAATATATTAAATATATTTTTTGAGTCAATTAGTCTGTTTTTTTACAAACAAGACTATAAAGTAACGCTAAATATATTTTTTTTTTTACTTTTATTTTTAAATTGTTATGTAACAAAATATATAAAAAATGATAGTAAAAACTCTATTTTTCTTAAAAAAAACGCCGTGAATTTTTTTTTATCTCATAATTATGAAATAATTAAAATAAGTAAGGATGATATATATGCATATATACCACAATTTATATTAAATATTATTTCTTTATCTATAAAGCATTTAAAAAATATTAAATCTTTTAAAGGGATAGATTTACTAAACTCATCCTTTGGTTCGTATAATTTTAGTAAAAATATTGATACAGTGAATTATAAGAATATAATGTATATATTTTTACTTTTAAAGAATAATTTAATTTTAAACATTGAAGACATGGAAAAAGATATATATGACAGGAAAAATAAAAGAAAGAATGTAGCAGAAAATATAAGTGAAATAAAAAGAAATTTTTTATATAAAGACGTAATTGAAAAAAATTATAAACAAACAAATAAAATGGGTGAAAATAGCATATCTGACAAATACAATAATATTGCTGATGTTTTTGTTAAATTAAAATATACAGTTGGTTCAAATAAAATAAATGAAGACTCTTTGAAAGAATTTTTATTCAACAAATTAAACGTTCTCGTAAATAATAAAGACACTGATTTATTAATAGATATATTAAAAGATATTTTTTTTACATACAAAAATATCTTATATTTGAGTGTAAGAGACTTCCTTAATATTTACGAAAAATTAAATGGGATTTATGACAATATTTTATCAGTTTTAACTATTATTTTTTTCAATGAAAACAAAAACTTCAAAGAACATGATGCTGGATCAAACAATGCCTATGAAAAACTAGGAGGAAGCAATGAAATAAGTATTCTTGAATTTATTAATAATTTAAAAACTATGAATAAAACATACTTTAAAGATATATTGAGTCAAAACACTTTACATAGTATTTTAAAGAGATATGAAAGTTTTGTATATATGTGCATATATTTTGATTTAAATAAAAAAAAAGTAAACAATATAATAAATTTCTTAGAATTCTCAAGAATGGTAAATAAAATTTATTTTAATCCTTTTAAGAAAATCTAGAAAAAATAAAAAGGAAATTAACCAAAAAAAATATATACATATATTTATATTTTTTTTTTTTTTTTATTATTTTTAGTGCAATGTTACACTTAGCACAGAAATTTTAATAGATGTATTTTCTTTATTCTTTGAAAGGAAAATGGTAAAATTTAAATTGTAAATATTTAATAATATATTTTTCATGTAATTACACTTTTATTATATTTTATTCTATTTTTAGAATAATTTAATATTCAAAGAGTTTGACATATTTTCTTCATCAAAGAAAACAAGCAATTTTGAATTATATTACATAGTTATGAAAGCAGGATTTTTTGAAGGTAAAAAAAAATATATATATAAAATAAAAGGATAAAACAAATATATATATATATATATATATAAAATTAAATTTAAAATTTATACTTTTTAATGTTCATTATTTGTAGAAAATGTTAGAATAATCTTGAAAGTCTTCAATATTGTATTAAATTTATTTAATTTGAAAAATATTCCATTAAATTTCTTTGAATGTATTTTATTCGTTTTAAAAAAAAAAGGGAAATTTAAAGATTTATATGATTGCATTGATAAAGTGCATAGAGAACTAATAAATTATGAAAAAAATAAACCATTTTATAATTTAGAAAATTTAACATCTGATTTGAAAAGTATTTTGGATAGATATAAAAAAGAGAAGCAATTTTAAAAGAATATAAATAAACTTGCACTTTTTTTTAGCTTTTTTTTTTTATTTAAACTTTTTATACACATTGATATTTTATGTTTACAAAATATATACAATTTTTTATATATTTACATATTTGTAATATTTTTTTTGTTTTTTCTAAATTTAAATAAATTCACTTTTTAGTCATTTAACATATATATGTATATATGTATATATATATATATACATATAAAAAAAAAAAAAAAAAAAAAAAAAAAAAAAAAAAAAAAAAGTACAAGACTTCAAAAAAAAATAACTTTTTAAACAAGTATTCTTTTTGATCCTTTAAATGTTATATA